TTCTCACAGCAACATGCCTGTGGGGCCAGGTGAAGGGAGTTGGGATATTCGGGGGGGGAGGAGTGGAGGATGGACAGAGAGGGGCACACAGGGCTGCTAGGGAGGTGCCACATAGACTGGGGTTTGGAAGGGCTGGTGTGTGTGTGGGGGGGGGACAGACTGGGGTAGGGGCACATGAGCTAGTGGGGTTACCCCATTGAGCCAGGGGCTGAATGACAGTGGGGGTGCAGGGACACATGAGGATGGGGGGAAAGGGGTCAGAGACACATTGGGACAGAGGGAAAGGGTGGTTTAGGGAAAGACAGGGATGGGGCAGATGTGCCTGAATGAATGGGAGAGCTAGTGGGGTGACACCACTGAGCCAGGGTCTGCATGAGGGAGGCTTCCTAACTCTCTGACAATCTCTCCCCATCCCACAATAAAACCTTGTTCTATATTTCTCCATCCTCACACTCCACAATCCTCCAGGTTCATTCCCAGGCTCCCAGAAATTACTTCCCTCGCCCTCAGCTCCTCCATTATCCCTGACGCCGCCAAGCCTTTGCACTGCTTCTGAGGGATGCGGGAAATACTTTTCTGAGTTGTAGTTTAAATGAATTATTACTCAGAGTTCTGTATTAATATGCCTAGTAAGGAATCTGTTTGTCAAAAAACATTTCCTGAATCTTTTTGTTGTCTTTATTGTTACAGACATACTTGCTGACAGGTATTTTTAAATAAATCACCAACATTAATTGAAATTGGCGTGATTATTTTGTGTTATTTTGACAAATAAAATATGCAGAATTTTGTAGAATTTTTATTTTTTTGGCGCAGAATTCCCCCAGGAATATTAATTGTATAAAATTGTTATATAATTAAGAATATGAATGCCAACATCAGCACAAAGGGATATATATGGAACTGTGGCACCAATCAATGATCATGCTAATCTATATATGCTGCTTTGCATCACTGGCAGCTATGATATTTTTTCATTTAATAAGCAATCCAAGCATAATTCACTGTGCCCCTAGGAACATTGCAATGCCAGAGGGCAAGAGGCTCACTGGTATCAGGTAGTGACTTTCAGCTGGCCTGACCAATTCAGTGCACTCAAATTCACTTACGTCATCATCTGTATTCAATGGGTGTTGTGCAGGGTACCACTGGAAAACCAGTAACACACTGATCTTTGATGTTCTTGCACAGTGCAGATACAGTACATGTTCAAAGGACTGCACAAATATGAAGGAAACATGTTTGAACCAGGTAAGTCTGGGGAGTGGGTAAACAGGCTTTTTCCAGACAAAGGAGAGGCCAACGCCTCCATCCAGGTGGAAACACAGTCAAGTGGCTATTACTGGCACATCGGAGGCTGCAGGAACAGATCAGTTTGCATTGTAGAAAGCACCAGTGGAGAAGAAATCTTCTTCATCAAACTCCAGGGCACCTTACCTCACAGCAGAGGCACTGAACGCTGAGAAGGATATATTCCAAAAGTTCACTGGACTATAGCAGAAAGGAGCAAAGAACCCCAAGTAATCTTTCACCTACAAAGACAAAGGAACCGAGCTCTTTGGACTTTGTGGGAGATCCTGACCAAGGGAGAGGTCAGCCATCTTGCTGGAAGGAGGTGTGGTAAGAATCTTACCTTGAACCAAGACCATAGCATTGTTAAGTCTTAGTCATTAGACAGCATTTTGTTTTTTTAACCATTTCTAACGTTATTCCTTATATTTGGCCTCACTTAAAACCGCCCTCTTATTGATTAAATAAACGTGCGTTATTTTTATTCTAAATCAATCAACCCAGTACTGTGTTGTCTTCAGATGATTATTAACTCCAGTTAAAGCAACAAGCTGCTGTGCTTTCGCCTCTTTGAAGGAACAAAGGACCTTATTACTCTGCTGAATGTTCCGGAAGAGGCCCCATGCCATTTCAGGGCAGATGGTTTTGGGGGAATTTGGGACTGGAGGGTGTGCTGGGCTCTTTTGGCTATTAGTAACCAAGGTTGATGGAGGCTAGAATGTGGCTGTGGTGTAACAATGAGGCTGCTGGAGCCGGAGTTACTGGATCTGAGCTGCTCAACACAGAGACACTCAGTGCATGCTTGTATGCTGGCTGGGAGCCTCCATACAGGGATCTACAGCAGCAGCGTGCATATTAAGGCACTCAGGTTACTGGGCAAGCTGCGACACAAACTCTCACTTGTCAGAACTGCATCCCAAATTGTGACAGTCCCTAATACATTGCCATGGCACTGAAAGATTATTAGACTTGTGTGTGTTCTTTTCTTAGGAGGGCAAATGAGAGGACAGAGCCATAACATTAATGAATCATTGTAATTCACCAATGATTATTCACAAATATACTATGGAGACAGTGGTGGTGACTGAAATCCATACATTTCAGGATTGTGCAGAGTCTAAAAGGCAAAGATATCATTTCTCCTTGGACAAGTCAAAATGTCTCCTTCCAGCACAACCCAGATACGTCTCTGTACAGCTCACCTTGGTCATCCCCCCACCCCCACTCCCACCATGGTAACCTTCGGTTCACAACCTTCGGTTCACAACCCAAAGACTTTTACTAAATATGAGGTGAAAGCTGCTGAGTGTCCTCAACCCACATTAACCAGGGATCAAGCCCATGATTGTTACCAATATTAGCCACAAAGCATATTCAATATAGAGAAGTTTTACAGTTACAGAGCCCAGGTTCCCTCACGAGGATGTAAATCATGAGTAAGGACTCTGAACTCCATGCAGTAACACTGCTGTAAAACCAGTTTGTGAGAGGTTTCACAGGGTTAAAAAGCCCATTTTCTCTTACTGCTTATTGGACAATGAATAGGATATAATGCGCATTTAAAAACCGGGCAGTGCATGACACTATATAAGGACCTACATACTGGGCCTAATTCTGATCTCACAGTGGTTTAACTCCTTTGACTTGACTAGAGTTATTCCTGATTTATGCTACCTGAAGTAGGATCAGATCCAGGCTCAGTGGAGTTAGACCCATAGAAAACTAGTTTCAATAAGTGCAGAAATAGACGCAACAGCTTGTATGGTGGCAGACAGTTATATCATGACAAAGATGAGAGAGAGCCACAAATATATAATGCAAATAGACATCCTTTTAATATGCTAAATCATTACAAAACAGGTTTACATGTTATTTCATTAAATAAGACAGAAATATGATAGTACTCAGACATTAGCAGCTATGCAAAAAATATATCTAATGCATATGGAAGGTATGTACGAGAATTTGCTGTTAAGTAGAGTAGTGGTTAATGGTTTACAATAATCCACTCTTACAGTATAAAATAGCAACATGGTTTTCTAGTATGAATAGTAAGACTATTCTTTCATACGTGCATTATTGTTTAAAATTGCAGATAGATGCTTATATAATCCTTTTACCTTTTAACACTGTGTATGTGTGAGTTTGTATGTAAGTTGTGTTATACTTATTTTAATCTATTATTTTATATGGCATTCTTTTTCATGTTTGGTAATGTGGTAAAAGAACAGAATAGCTTCCTGACTCAATCTGTTTGCATCTAGATTTGCACTGTGCAAGTCTGCATATTTTAAGCATTAGCAGCTGTTTTTATGAAATAGAAGCATTATAAAGCAAAGGAATTAAAGTCCAGTGCTTAGTTCAGTTTTATCAGACTATATCATCTTACTACTATGTGCTAAACAGTCATAAAAAAATACTGTAATACACTGACTACTTCGGTCCACATCCTTGGCCCTTTTGAGTAAACAGACCATAAAGCTGTGCCTGGCTGAAGTTTCCCACAGTGCGGGATTGTTACAGGGCATGGGTGGGAAGACGGGGTTCATTACTGGAGTGCTGTTGTGCTCCAGCCGTCCCTGGCTAATGTAATAGCCTCTCAAGGGCTGTGACTAGCCAGTGCAAGTTAGAGCAGCCATGCAGCTTGGAGTCACAGTTTCCATCCCTGTGGTTCTGTGCTAAGCATGACTCACCCAGACCAAAAGGTTCTAGCCCATTTACTTCCGTGGAATTATCCTGATTTGTATTGGAAGAAAAGCGGAATCAGGACCATCAGGTCAAATTAAACATAGATGTCTAGAATCTGGCATCGCTGGAGTGGAACAATAACTGCTTTTCTTTTTCTTTAATTTAATCTGAGAAATGGATAAAAGGCAGATTTTTGTTTAGTCCTTCCCATGGTATTTAATATTTAAAAAGTAAACAGCCTGAAGAGGTTACTTATTATTGCACTAATCAGGCCATCACTCCCGAAAGGGGAATTTAAAGCAGCTAGAGGATATGATACCTCACAAAGGGGCAAACCTTTAGCCTAGAGCACAGCAAAGCAGCTTTTCCTCTCTTCAGGCCATATTCCTTGGCTGTCATGCAACCATGAGGCTATAGCAGCTTCTGCAACTCCCCCATGCACCTGGTCCCCAATGGGTAATGGCCAGGTCAGTGGAACTACATTGTGGATCAACCATCCCTTGGTGACAGAATATAAGGAACCCCATGGAGCTGTGGAGTAAGAAGAGGGGGCGGGGCAAGGTTTCCCCTTAGTGGAGAAAGCTGAGCACTCCTCTGACATTGTTACTGGGCAATTTACAAGAAAATGGATCTTACAGTGGTACCAGCTTTGCAAAGTAGTCAGGAAAATTTGCCAGCCCAGGCACAAAATCTATTGACTCACTCTTACCCACAATGACTGGTGATAATGAAAAAATAAGGATATGTCAGGTACCCAGGACAAAACGAATGCCCTGGGAAATACTCACAGGCCACACTAATGTATGCATGAGAAGGCAGAGAAAAAAGGTGTCACGCATGTCACCTATGCACCTCAAGGGAGCTATGCCTATTTATACCAACTGAGGATCTGGCCCCACATTTTAATGTACAATCAATGCTGATCAACATAAACATAGCTGAGAATCATCCCTTTAATATCTTGCCATGTGTTTTGCTTAATGCTGTATTTGTACTACTCTGGTTTTACATGTATTTTTCTGTTTAGATTGTTAAAAAATAGGACAGTGACTTGGTTGCGCTGAAATGCTGCATCTTTTGTAGTTGTGTTTTAATTGGCCCTAGGGACCAGATCCCCAGGTACCTTTTTATCTCCTAGGCATGGAGCAATAAGCCACACCCTCAGTGGGTGCAAATCAGCATTGATCCTTGGAAGTTAACAGAGCTAAGCCAATTTACACTAGCTGCAGATTTGGCCCATTGTTTTGTCCAATAAAAACTGTTGATGCAGTAGTAATGAAGACAGAAAATACAGCAAACTGGCATCTGGGTCTGAGTTGCTAAGTTTGGCTCTGGGTCTGAACTTTCCCAGTGTCCAGGGGAGGTTGTTGGGGTCCCATCCCTACATAAAACCACTATGAGACTGTTTACATTTGTTGGCCCTGGTTCCCTCCGGCCTTCTGCTTCCACCTTCTATCCTCTTACACACACAAGCTGCAGGCTTAGCTGATCTATTTGCAGCCTTTGAGCACCAAGACATCTATTTTTACTCATTATTGTACACAGTCTCACATGCCGTGCATCAGCACAGCCCTTGCTGTGGTAGGATGGGTGCTGCTATCTTGGGAGTGTATCAGCACTCATTAGCAGGAGATGCTGTGTGAGCACTCTTTCCCCTGGGAGTTGAGTGCTTGATGGGGAATGAGTTACCAAGCTCAGATCCTGAATCCCAAACTAATACAAGTGATTCTGATCTCACTTATTCTGTTTTTTAACACCTGGTATAGTGCCACTAACTTCAGCCAAGTTACTCCAGATTCATTCACCCCAGTTTAAGTGAGATCAGAATCTACTTAACCTATCTAGACTTTGCAGCCATGTTTCATGATAGGGATTTTATGACCATTAACAAAATCTGTAGCTGCGTAAACTGAGATGGCGATAGGAGCGTTAACGAATCTGACGCACTCACCGACGCTTGGATAGAGGGCAGTAGAGAAGTGCAATTTAATAGTTTGTTATTGTTATAGGTTAATTACCACCCATGATTAAGGTCTTAAACCGACTGAACTAAATTTGTTTTCAGTTACACTGGATTTACTCCACATTGGCACTGATGTAATTGAGAATGGAATTTGGTCCACTGTCCTTGGAGGCCAAGAAAAATCCATCCCCATTGATTACAGCATTGCAAAATGGGGATAGGTACATTATCACTGAATTTATTATTCACTGAATCAACCAGCAAGAGGCAGGAGACCCAAACAAGAAGGACCAATAGTCTGCTCTGTTACAGCAAATCCTATGTTCCTATGGTTTTTGAGGTTTACTGATTTTTGCAAAAGCTGGACATTGTGACATATGCTTCGTCTTTATTTGATGACCTAATTCCATTATTGGGCTGTATTAGGGACACTGTGTTGGTATTTAGGGGTCCTGATCTGGGCTGAACAGTGGGGTCCTCTGAAGAGCTGGAATGGGTCATAGGACCACAATTATATAGTTGTGTACCATTGCTACTGCACACTTTATAGGGGATGCCATTGCTGGATTCATTTAACATGGAAAGGTGAGTCTCACATAAGTGCCCACTCAACGTGTCAGATGGCCAAATTCCTCCATAAGTCACAGGAAGCTTTAGGATGCTTTTGTCTACAGCAGAGAGGCTCGTCTTCATATCTGATCCATTGCAAACTTTTTCTGAAACATCTGCATCTAGAGGAGCTGATGGCTGTAGAAAACATTCCACTTCTGCTTTGGCTTGAATGCCATCCACTTTATGAATATGAACATACCCAAAACTTTCCGGGTTAAAGCTTATATCAAAATTCTGTGTGAGAAAGAGGATAATATGTTCAGTTAACTACAGGTACTAAGTTACGGGAAGACACTCCCATAAGTCATCAGATTTTAGAAGAATTTTTATTTCTGTACTTTAAAATCTTCATAAAGAAAAAAGAGAATTAACATCTTTCCTCCTAATAAACAACCAACCAACGCAACAAACTATCTTGAATCAAAATCAGTCCCAGGTGCAATTCTGGGAACTAACACATAACAGACTGACTAGCCTTTATGAGAGATTCATCTAGGTCAGTGACTCTGAACCTTTCACACACCCCAGCCCCTTCTCAACTAGCCAGAATCGTCAAGGCCCCCTTCCACTTTAGCAACAAGGAAAGAGCAGGCTAGTCATGACCCCCTGACATCTGTTTGTGACCCCAGGTTGAGCAGCTATGACCTAGGGTAAATATGAGATGTGAGGCCAAAGGCTAAATGCCTCAGACTTTTGAGTACTTTCAAATAATGCACTATCTGGAGCATGTTATTTCACTTACAAAACAGCACTATTAACTTTCTCAGTGAGGAAAAATAGTAAAGATAATTGTAAATCAATGAGCTAATTCCATACCTTACAGCTGGAACTGTAGCCTGTTAGGCCTCAGTCTGCCAAAGGATAATGTACATGCTTAACTTTACACACTTTGAGTAACCGTATTGACTACATAAAAGTGGAAGGATATCATGGTACAATTTTTCAAAGGGATCCCAACTCATTGCCATCAAGGGCCATCATTGTTTTGCGCAAGCAAAATCTTAATTTGCCAGTCGAATAGTTAGATGGCTGACTACTTCATTTGCATATGCAAATACCATTTACACATGCAAATGGTAGTTTTTGTGAATCAAATTTAGAAGGCCCTTTGAAAACATGGCCCAGTACATACAGCAAATATACTATAATCAGGGCCCTACCAAATTCGCAGCCATGAAAAACACATCACGGATCATGAAATCTGGTCTCCCCCCGTGAAATCTGTGTGCTTTTACCCTTTACTATACAGATTTCACAGGGGAGACTAGTGTTTCCCAAACTGGGGGTCCTGACCCAAAAGGGCATTGCAGGGGGGCTGCAAGATTATTTTAGGGGGGGATCGCGGTATTGCCACTCTTACTTCTGCGCTGCCTTCAGAACCGGACGGCCAGAGAGCAGCGGCTGCTGATTGAGGGCCCAACTCTGCAGGCAGCAGCACAGAAGTAAGGGTGGCAATACCATCCCATGGTATTCTTACTTCTGTTCTGCTGCTGGCAGCAGCTCTACCTTCAGAGCGGGGCTCCTGGCCTGCAGCCGCCGCTCTCCAGCTGCCCAGCTCTGAAGACCGCGCCTCTGCCAGCAGCAGCGCAGAAGTAAGGGTAGCAGTACCGCAACCCCGCCTACACTACCCTTGTGACCACTTCACAACTCCTCTTTGTGTCAGGATCCCTACAATTACAACACTGTGAAATTTCAGATTTAAATAGCTGAAATCATGAAATTTACAATTTTTAAAATCTTATATCTGCAAAATTGACCAAAATGGACCATGAATTTGGTAGGGTCCTAACTCTAATGTATGAGTATTATTTATGTTTTCTGAACACAGACTCAGGTAATCACAGCAGAGGCAGCACATACCTTTTTTGGCTTCTTGCACAATTGCTCCAAAGTTTTTTTATGATCCGGAAGTTTTGGCCACAAAACTGGCTTGATTCTGAAATGAGATACGTAGCAACAATAAAAGTATTCAAGAAGGGATTATGGCAACAGCCATAATCGAAGGCACTATATTAGTAGTGTTAGAGTAGCAATAATAGATTTTATATCATCATACTAGTTCTTGTCGACCATCTGGGTGTTTTGCATTATCCCGCATGAGATATTTGTTTTAAGACGGCCATTTCTGAACTCTTATTCCAACGGTGAAGGTAGAGGTAGGACATGAGTGGTGTGGAATATATGTCTTATCCCACTGCCTCCGAATGATAACAATATTCTACTGTTATGTGGATAGAACTTTTCATCCACAATGTACTTCACAAACCATTGGCTAATTAACCCACAAAACACCATAGTAAGAGGTAATTAGGTACATATTATTCGTATTTTCCAATAGGGATTTGAGGCAGAGAGCCTAAACTCCCACTTTATCAATGTGACCATGAATTTTGGATGCCTCTTTTATGAGGTGTTTAACTTGTGACATCTAAGACCTGTTTTTCCAAAGATGCTCAGTTGCTGGAATTTCAGCTGAAGTTAATGAGAGCCACAGGTGTGCAGCACCACAGAAAATCAGGCGCTCAAGTTGGGCACCAAAAGTTTGAGGCAACCAAAATTAGTGCCACTTTTGAACAGTTTGATCTACAAGCTCCAGCTTGACCACTTCTGTTGATTTCAACTGTGGCAATATATCATGAGAAGAGAGGTAATCTCACTGGTAACCAGCTCCCAAACCTGACTTTATAGGTTAAAACCTACACCATGATTTCCTCTCAGAAGCTTATTGGAAGCCAGGCCAGACCACAGAGTACTGGTCTAATGCGCTCCCATTACTCAATAAACAGCCTGCAGCATTTTGCACCAGCTTCAGCTTCTGAATGATCCCAGGATGTAGACCATGTGACAGCAATCTAATCTTGAGGTGACAAAGGCACTAGGCAGTCTCCTTTTGCCTACCTCCTCTCTTGCCTTTCTCCCGTTCTCAATTCTTCTATGATTTGTACATGTTCATGTTGCGGGAGAGGCCAGGGAATGGGGTGAGAATTGTTGGATAGTATAAAAGGATGAGATGGGCTTGCCACAGTATGATTGGCTTAATATTCTTTTGATGAAAAGAGATTAAAATTACCTGGTTTTCCAAAACATTAGGATCAGAACAAGCGTGACAAAGAGCAAAATGAAGCCCACAGTAGTTATAACCACAACCATGTCAGTGCCTAACAAAAAAGTAAAGAATAAATACCATATTAGGTTTGTTTCTATATGCATTATTATTGTCCGCGATCATGACATACTCTTTTAAGAAAAAAACAACCTATTATTACTGGGGAATATTGACAAATTTTATACAGTTTGGAGTGATGTATTGATTCAACTGCCTTGTTTCTTCCATCTGTCTGAAGGTGGGAAAAGGTGGCTTTGCAGTCCCTTCATCCTTGACTAAACACCAGATTAGTCTCCTAGTCCAGATTAGAATAGCCTCAGGGCTGTTCTAAACTGCATTGGCTGCCGATGGCCTCAGGGAAGCATCGTCAGCTCATTGAGTTACGGGTCCATTGATTTATGCCCTGGCTGCCCTGGGGAATTTGAAGGTGGGGGTATAGCAACTTTTGCTTATCTGCCTTAGGGGTTGCACTGAGTATATCTCAGCCAAAACTGAGGATCAGACCCTTTGCCTGAGGACATATTTTCAACCTTCCGTATGTAGGTCACTGGGCTGTATCTGTCCCAGGTCCATAGTGATCAAAAACTTTGCTGTTGTACACAACTGAAATGTAGTTTGTGATTAAAATAAGGTAAATGCATGTTACAATTGGCAATATTAAAATGAATCCTTTTGTACTGCTTTAACTCTTCTATGGCTAAGATGTTTGATGCAAACTGCTCTTTATCTCTGGAGGCTCAGAGTCATCCGCAAAACGGAATGAGCCAGATTCTCTGCCCCATTCTGTCCATATTGTGCCACCCTGTTAGTTATAAACAGGATGCACTCTGGCCCTATTGCCGCTGCTTGGAATTCAGCTGGCTTTGGGGCCTCCCCAACAGGCCCAGAACTGGGGCAGCCAGCTCCTATGTCACCCTCTCTCCAGCCGCTGGTGCAGGGAATAGGCGGGGCATGTGAAGGGTGAAGAGGTGGCTGCAGTGTGCAGCACTCTGGCTATACTCAGCACGTGGATAATCCCTGGAGGATCATTGGCAGCTGGCACAGGCAGCAGAGCTGAGGCCAAGTAGAGAATCAGGAAGTCAGTAGTAGCCCTTGATACTCTGCCTAGCCCCACACCTGATCTGCTGTACCAAGTGACTTGGTCAGGTTTTAGGCTTTTTGCAAACTTAAGAAAGTGGTTTCCCTTTGCTTACTTTTCGTTATGGGGTGTTCCGCTGCACTTTGGAAGTATTCGGAGGAGCTCCATTCACTCCAGATACCCTTGAAATACTTTCCATTGGGCTTTGATCGCACTTTCACTTCATAACTTGCACCCATCTGAAGGCTTTTCCCCAGTAATTTTACCCGAAGATATTGAGAATGTATTGTCTAAACAGAGAAAGAGCTGATTATTTTTTGTCAGAATGGAAAATTATATTTTTCAGATTCAGTAAGGGAAAGCTTATTTATATATAAATCATGTTTGTAGAGAAGATTTCCAGACTCTGAAACCTTAGCTATCTCACAGAGACAATTGCCCTGCTTTATATGTGAGTGCATCCCAGTAGCAGCCCAGGGAAATGCATATGCATAGGAGAGCCATACGCCATCAATTATTCACAGGGCAGAGCCTATTCCTGCAGATACTGCCCAGCCTGAGCATTTCCAAAGGGCAGGACAATAGGGCTGGAGGAATGGACTCTGGTCTTATATGACAAATGTTAATCAAAATGCTAGCTACTCAGAACATTCATACGTGAGGGATGTGAAGCTGCCTGGAATAATCGAGCTAGTAAACAGGAGCAGCAAACAGGGGAGTTTTGCGAGGGAGTTTAGAGAGGGAACGTGAAAGCCAGATATACCCAACATTCTCTAAACATAAACTAATAAACATCCTATTCCCCACCCACCCAAACCAAACAAACAAAAAAGCTGTAGAAGTAAAACGAATGCAGGTAGAAGTCCAGCAGCAGAGTGGGGGCTATTCAGTTTAATGCACAGAATGCAGCATGTACAATTATCTGCCTTGTGGGCAGGTGGTGTATGTGTGCATTCTGTGCAAGGAGCTCATGGCTCTCAGAGACCGAATACAGGCTCTTGAAACCAGAGTGGCTGAACTGGAGGATTAGGGAGACAGAGAGGTACACAGATGAGACTTTCCGGGACACAGTAGAGTGGTCCCACCCCCAGTAGACAAGCTCCGTGCTGTTGAGAAGGATGAAAGTCTCAGAGAAGGAGAACATCAAACTGAAGCAGAGGGAAATGATCCCATAGTTGGGACCCTCCTTTAAGATGATGCCATGATATCCTTTTGCACTTAGGATACCTCTCTGGGGGAGGGAATCCCGGTTATTAGGAAGAGATGGGTAATAGTATGGCAGAGTTGGTCATTGGAAATATAGATAGATGGGTTTGCGATGACTGAGAGAACCACATGGTGAATTGCGGATCTCTGAGACAGACTTATGTGCAGTAATGGGGAGGAGCGGATGGTCACAGTACACTTAGGTACTGTGGTGCAAGTAGAATTAATTTCTTATCAGTACGCTGCACTCATGGGAGGGAAACAAAGGGGGAACACCAGCTAAACGGGGAGCATGTGACCTCCCCACATGACCCCCCATGTGACTCCACCCCACCCCGAGCCCAGGAGACCTGTGCTCTCCCCGTCCCCTCCCCATGACCCATCCCACACTACCTGGGGAAAGGGGCCTCTGTCTTCCTCCCGCTGCACCAGAGAATTCTGAACCGCAGGGCTCTGTGGAACCGCAGTGGTGAAAGGAGCAGAACGTGGGGCTCCTGGGCGGCTCCAGCCGGCAGCTCCTCTAGCATAGCTGTACCGCCCCCAGCCCCACCCCCAGCTCTGCCCCCAACCTTTCCATGCAGCTGCATCTCCTGAGACCTATCTGGGGTCTGTACAGGAGGAGGACAGGGCTGTAGGTGTGGCTGTGGGTGGTACAGCCACGCTGGAGGAGCTGCTGGTGTGGGGCCGCCCAGCAGCCCCACATTCTGGTCCTTTTGCTGTTGCTGTTCCTGGGAGAGCTAGCCCAGCGGCCCCACGTTCTGCTCTCCTGGGAACTGCAGTGGCAAAAGGAGCAGAATGTGGGGCCGCCAGGCAGTCCCACGCTGTCAGCTCCTCCAGCGCGGCTGTACCGCGCCCAGTCTTATCCTCCGGCGGGGCTGCTGTACAGATCCCAGACAGGACTCAGGAGACGCAGCTGTGTGGAAGGGCTGGGGGTGGGGCTGGGGGCGGTACTCCTCCTGTGTCTTTCCTGTGCAGAGTACCTGCTATAAATATCTTACTGGTACGGTGTACTGGACCGGACCGTCATACTTGCACCACTGTGTAGGTATCAGTGACATAGAGACAGGTAAGAGAGGTTGTGGAGGCCAAATTTTTATTACAAATATTTGCACTGTAAAATGATAAACAAAAGAAATAATATTTTTCAATTCACCTCATACAAGTACTGTAGTGCAATCTCTTTGTTGTGAAAGTGCAACTTACAAATATAGATTTTGTTTGTTGAATAACTGCACTCAAAAACAAAACAATGTAAAACTTTAGAGCCTACAAGTCCACTCAGTCCTACTTCTTGTTCAGCCAATCGCTAAGATGAACAAGTTTGTTTACATTTATGGGAGATAATGCTGCCCGCTTCTTATTTACAATATCACCTGAAAGTGAGAACAGGCGTTAGCATGGCACTTTGGTAGCTGGCATTGCAAGGTATTTACATGCCAGATATGCTAAACATTCGTATGCCCCTTCATGCTTCAGCCATCATTCCAGAGGACATGCTTCCATGCTGATGACGCTCGTTAAAAAAAAATGTGTTAATTCAATTTGTGACTGAACTCCTTGGGGGACAATTGTATGTCTCCTGCTCTGTGTTTTACCCACATTCTGTCATATATTTCATGTTTAAGAATCTGAAGTGCCTTCCAAAATCTTGTGACACCGGCTACAACAGTGCCATGCGAGTGCCTGTTCTCACTTCTTCACACAACGCACAGTCAACCTGTGGAACTTGTCGCCGGGGATGCTGTGAAGGCCAAAAGTATAACTGGGTTTAAGAAAGAAATAGATAAGTTCATGGAGGACAGGTTCATCAGTGGTTATTAGCCAAGATGGTCAGGGATGCAATCCCATACTCTGGGTGATAATTGTCCTGTTCTGTTCACTCCCTTTGAAGTGTCTGGCATTGGCCACTGTTGGAAGACAGGATACTGGGCTAGATGGACCATTTGTCTGACCCAGTATGGCCATTCTTGTGTTCGTTTGTTCTCAATGTATGAATACTACATGCTCTATGTTTGTCTGAGTATTGTAAAGATGTTTACTGTATGCATATATTAAGTTAATTCAATAGCTCGGTGGTCAGGAAACTACCCAGGATGCTAGATAATAGCCCAGCTAACTACTCCTCAGCACACACCCAGGACTATTAGCTACGATACGATACCTTCGCCCCCTGGTGTGACCGGTTCAGAGACAGACGGCAGACAAAGAACTTTGGGGGTGTTGACGTCACTAGGCATCACCATCACCCTAGGTAACTCGGGAGGGTGGAAAATCACAAGTGTCAATGAAGCCTTCCTGCACTAGGCCTAAATGAACCAAACTCCTTCCTTGTTTAAACTCTAATCGACCTCAAAAGCCAGGTGCAATTGGAATATGTAAGCAACCAGTTATCTGTGTGCAACCCCCTGCTCACACCGGTATCAAGCGGTAATAATGAGGCCTGCATGTTTCTGACTGAAGGGAAAAAGGACAAGATAACGGTTTAAAGAAGTTACTAACAAGCTAGGCTTATAGCTGCCAAGAATGACTTAACTGCTTAAATGTAATCGTTATTTGCTTAGTAACTATTACCAGGGACGGGAGGGGTAGAGGGAGGAATGGGGGGGAGAAAGGGAGGGCTAGAGGGGGAAGGGGGGGTGAGGCTTAACTGCAAAATGTATAAAAGAAGAAAAACTGTTTCTGTTAGTGTGCTTGATTTGAGATGTGCCAGTCTCCTTGCACCGCTTTGAGATCTCAAATAAACTTTGTTTGCTTCTCCACCTGGTGTGTTTATTGATGCGAAGCACACCGGGCAACGAAGCCGCTGTTGCTGTCCTCGGGCACTCTGTGCCGGCAACAGGGGGATGAATGGACAAGCCCTGAAGAACCAGGGTGAGAGGGGCAGAGCCTGCTGGGAAGAAGGCTGAATCCTAACCCTAAAAGTGGGGGTGTCTAGGATAAGCTAGGCCTACATAAGCTTTAGATAAAGCAGATATGCATATAAGTCTTTTGTTGTTTTAATCCTTTTGTCTTGTTATTCTGTGTTCCTATTGTCAAGAGTAAACAAAACTTTGTTTGAAGAAGGCTGTTTTGGGTCACTGTGTTATCCATTGGTCACAGCTCCCAAAGGAAAGACTTGCAGGCCAGGAAACCCAGCCAAGCCTGGTGAGCTATCACAGTTGGCCCACAGGGGACTGTAGCCCAGGGCCTAGTCTGAGAGTCAGAGAATCACAGAATTCTGCCCCAGAATTAATTAATAGTTAATAATAATAAATTAATAACCATATAATATAATAATATCTCCCTAATTTATGTATGCCTTTCATCACAAAATATCTCAAAGAGAGTTGTAATTTAGCAAGCCAATATTTAGCTATATTATCTACTGGTTTCAGTGTATCAGTCTTGCTCCAAAGCTCTGGTTGCACTATATGCTTTATGCAAGTGCATACAAAAGAACCAGTGGATCAATAACTGTTTTCGGTTTCTCCCCGCAGCCCACTCTGTCAATTATTACCGATTCCTGCACTGGCTCAGCTGTGCTGCCCAACAGACTCAGAAGCTGTGCTGGACAGTAATGGGTTCCTGTATTCCCTTGGTTAGTCCAAATCACAATCTAGCCCACAGTAACTGTACACATTAAATATGGTAATGAACAGCATACATCTAATGTTACCTATCTATTGATCTGTATATAAAATAAAAATAAAAACATAATGATCACAATTACTTAAATTTAGCACTGATGTCACACTTTCTATTTTCATTGCAATAAGCATTAATTAATTAATGAATCCAAGATGCCCCTGTGAAGGAGGTATTGTAAGTGGTCTAATGGATTCAGACCATTTTCAATCATTATCAGCCTGGAATGGATTTGAAATGGCAACCTAGAAGTGAAATGATCTAATAGCAATTACTGCAGTTTCTCAAGTTTTCAGCTAAGGGAGAATAGAAATGAAGTACATTTTTTGCATATATTATTAGTACTTCTACTAACATAGACTTAAGCAATTAGTAAGAAAATCACTATACATTTTCACTTACTTCCCAAGTCCCGTTTTCCTGCCGATAGGCTAGTTCGTGTATTAATTTGTCCTTTAGATATTTCTTCTTTGAATGCGGGGTCTTGTATCGAATAAAATACTCGTTTGCATCCTTTCGGAATGTGATATTTATGCCAAATGGAGTCTCAGGCTTAACTGTAAATGATGATAAGGGGAAAACAAGTCAACGTATCACACAGTGAACAGTAACCTTAATGTGTAACTATCTAATAAGTCAATATATTTATTTTAAAAAGACTTCAAAACAACTGCTAACAAGTTCTCACTTCCTCCAGGGAATCATCCTGGCACCTGGCTGGCCCAGCATTGGGAGAATGCAATGGTGAGCTTCATGTCAGCTTTGTACTTCCTTCCAGAGCTGTGCTGGGTGCTTCTCAGTTGTAGCTGAGAATCTGGCATTGTAACTGGTGTTATGAGTAGAGAGAATGCCCCATTGCACTGTAACATCGAATCATTGGAAAGTAACTCCAAAACACGTAACAGTCAATTATGAGCTTTACCTGATCAATGTCATGAGATTGTGTCTCCTTGCCAGATTTTGAAATACCATATAATTTCAGTAAAGAATGTCATAATTTGCTATGCCTGTCTCTTCTGTTGTAAGTATAACTGTACTTGTGGCTTCTCTGTCCATTAGTGACAGGCTTGCAGTTATGCAGGCAATGTGGAAGTGACAAAGTATTCTAAAGTATAAGGTGAAAAAAATCTATATCTTTCCAGATCTAACCAGGGCTACTCAATCACAATGGGAAAGTTTTGACTCTTCGATCAAAATTTCTTTCGTTGATCTCAGAGCTTCAGTACTCTTTCTGGCCAATTTCCTTGTTATTGTTGAAATTAAAAAGTATATGTTTTTTAATATGACTTTGATGGGAGCAGGATTGTAGCCAGTCCTGATCGTAGCCTGAGAAACAGCAGTTTCTGTCCCAGCCTGGACCTTGCTCAGACAGAATATTCAGTTCTTGCAATGATATCACTTGGGGCTTGTACTCACTAGAAAATGAGGTCATGTTAGTTAATATGACACCTCCAGTTGTGTAATAACATGACCTCATTCTCTAGTGAAGCCAACAGGGGACAGACCTTAATTAGACTTAGCAGAAGCCCACTACTATGCATGCTAAGAACTGCCTAATAAATTCTTAATTTTTAACTCTTTCCCCCCATAATTATTTGGGAGACTCTGTCAGTGTGGACTGGTCATATACCAAAATTGGAGATGTCCTCATGTAGCTGTTTTCATGGTATGGATGAGCATTAATATTTTTACAAGGGTTTTAGCAGAAAAAGTTATTCTCCACCCCACCCACACACACCATCCATAAAAGAAAAATTAGGAAAGGGAACTCTCTCAAAATATTCATAAACAATTTACCCCTGGGCTAAGGCCAAGCATGAAAAGTTTCAGACTCAAAGGAGAATATTTCAGAAAGATATGCGGGCACATGAATAATAGGGATATCTGACCACAATTTTACTTTAAACCCCTTAGCCTTCAGAAGAAAGTCTGACCTTCCCATTATTTGCACAGTATCTTGAGGATTAAACACACTTAAGTGCTTTCTCATACACCACTGTGCAGAATGTGGCTTATAAAGCTGAACAGAGTAGAATAGAAGTGAATTCAAGAATCAAGGGTCCTCACCTGAGAACACTCTGATAAGGTGCCCCAGATATTTAAGGGACTGTTAGCTTGAGTGAATCAACTAATCTTAATTGTACCAATGGCGCCTGGGGAAAGAGGCCGGTTTCTCAGGAAGCTAGGCTCCAAATCATTAGAGCTCAATACTATAACCTTGAATTGCATCTGGAACCGAACAGGAAGCCAATACAGAATATGGAATACTATTGTAATGTGCTTCTGACTGCCAACTCCACTACAGTAGTCGGACTACTGCACTTTGCACTAGTTGGAGTCTCTAGGTGATCTCCAAGCACATCTGTACGTACAGTGCATTACGGAATTCCATGTGGAGATGATAACGCAAGGATAACTGCAGGAAGGCAAGCATCCCAACTGGTTACTGTCATTGCACCAAACTCAGATGGAAGAAAGGCACTCGGTCACTGGAGCCACCCTGGACTGTAGGAGAAATTGATCATCCAACAGCAGCCCTAAACTGCATAACTTCTTGGCAAAGGAGGACAAACCTTTTCAGAGCAGCCTGTGCTATCCACAAGTCTCTCCAGTTATGGGGTAGATTAAAAGCAAAGTAGAATAGGCCAGCACCTAAGCCCCCTATTCTGAAACCAGCTCAATCATGTTTGGTTTTGGGGGGAGGGATTGGTAAGGACTAGCCACATATTTTCTGGGCTTAGGGCCACAAATTACCTTAGCTCACCATGTCTTGATCCCTCAACCAGCCATCATTTCCTCCATTTTATCTGGAGTGAATGTTGGTTTTTGCACCAATTTTTTCCCAATCATTTACACTTCTTAATACTGTGTAAAGCACTTGGCATCTTACCAATATGGGTTACTTCCACACTCCTGCAGTACGGTCTGTTTGACTCAAGGACCACACAAACATCCTTAGGTGAGAGGATTCCATAGAAATATAAAAAATATGTGCCTTCCTGTTTCTCCATAGTCGAACATATACGCTTTTCAATGATGGTGCTGCTGTTGATTCAACATGACAGAGTTAGTTTCTTCTCAATCGTAATGAAAAAAATTCTTAAATATTTTCCCACTGATATTTGGGGTCAGATTTTCAGGTTCCAAGCACATCTAGGTCTATAGAGCAGAACACAAGCTCAATCCTGCAGGCCCCTACTAAGCCCTTAGTGAAGTGGTTGCAATCAAGCATCATTTCTTTGAAACCAAAGGGATAATACACAATAGTAAGTAATTTTGTAATATTGGTTTGAACAATCAGGCCCTACAATGGGGCTTTTAAAATTCATTCTTTGTTGTTTATTTTAATACAGCTAATAAAGATAACAAAGAAAAGAAAGATCTCTAACCTCAAGTAGAGAACCATTATCAGATTATACAACAAGGTAGGTAAGAACCAAACTTCTTCATTATTAAGGGCAAAGAATAGTGTAACAAAGACAACTGTTAACTGGTTAAGGAGATTTGCCCGTGTAGTTATGTAATAATAATGCTATTTTTGTTATTCACCCCCAGTGTAGGGTTCATTATCAAGTAAAATCGTAAACTAATCTCCAGAATTATTCCCTTTTGGGATGAGGAAAGGGAGAAGCAGGAAAGAAAGAGGAGTGTTGAAAGAGGACCAAATTAAAACCTGAAATGTAAGTGAAAGAGGAGAGGAGAGGTTGGAGAGGGCGAAAGAGGGAAAAGAAAACAGAGGGAGAGAATGGGTGGAGGAGAATGGGAGGGGCTTAGGGCCGCAAGGGGACGGCAAAAACAAAAAGGTTGCATTAATGAGAAAGTTAATAGATTATTCCCATTTTTCCAAATTATATATCCATAAATTTATCTTGGTTGTTTCTATTGGAAAACTTGTTTTGTTCCACTGTCACCAGGCTGAACAAGTGACAGTACTATTCTTTGATCATTGGCACACTTGGGACTTACTTCTGTCAGTGTAGAATTAGACATTAGGCTATGATCAGAATTCTACCCAACCAAAGTTTGTCAAAGGATTTCAATTTCCAAGATAGATTGGCCTGCCTTAAGATGGCATGGCCAGCCAGAAGTTCCATGTTGTTGGACAGAAAGAAATTGGCCTAAATATTTATCTCTGTCCAAAAAAGATGGATGACAGAGCAATCTCATAGTATGTGGAATAAGTTACAGCCTGCTGCATTGCAGCACCATCATTTTTCAGATTTGGCTGCACAGGACCTGAAACATCTACATGGAGTCTAGTGCATCCTCCAAAAGATTTTCTGATGGATCAATCTTAATCCCAAATCCAGTGAGCAATGCTTTATGGTGGGTCTAATTTCACTGGATGTTGGTAAGGGAAATTGATAGCTAATGTTCCCATTGCTTTCTAATATTGCCACTGCTGATTGCCAATTTGCTTCATAGGTGGAAATACAGACTGGCCAGTGGCATAGGTAGGTAGTTTTACTTTTTCAGAAAGCCCTGTGGGTTGGGGATCTGGTGTTGCAAAGGCAGGGAGGTCAAACTGGTGTCGTAGAGCATGTTTAAGTTGAAGCTGTTGCCATTCCTTCTTTGGGTCCAGTTTGAATTTCTCCCTAAGGTGAGGAAAGTGCATGAAGGAATCATTTTTAGTTACGTGGTTTATGTTCAAAATCCCTTTGTTAATCCAATCAGGCAATAGAAATTACCTACAGGCAATTAAAATGTTGGAGTTACCCCAAATTGAAGACTCTGAATGTCAGAAGGAATGACATTTAAACTTAGAAGCAACCAGATATCACACTTTCTTAGAGGCCAAAATTGTGACAGATTCCTCCCTAAGGTCTTCCTCTAAATACACCCATTGGAAGAATTTGGATAACTGTACATTAATATTTTTTTGATTGGTGAGTATCCAGCCTGACTTGAGTGAACTGAGGGGATTTTATCTTTTAGTGAGTTCACTCCAAGTCTATGCACTAATAATTTCCCAGCTTTATTGCCTGATTTCCAGTATCTCTGTTTTAATCTAAACAAAGCAAATTCAGCCTGAGCTGCAGTTATTTTATTGGTTTCGTACCTGAGATTAGTCCTCTCTCGGAGTTTACCCAAAGAGGAGGAAATCAGCATAGCTGATGGTCTGCCTCCTTGAGATTTCCTCTGAAATTCATCAGCATGGCATGTCTAGTTCTTTTTTTGTGGGAGGAGTAGGATATTATTCTGCTTCTTAAGTATTCCTTGAAACTATCCCACAAAATCACTTAGGAGACCAGGGTGTTCTCATTGGTTTCAAAGAAAAATTGTATTTCTTCCTTCACAAAGTTTTTAAATTGTGTGTCTACTTGTAAAGAGGAGTTTAACCACCATCTACAGCCTGCAGCTTTTCAGGAGATGAGAGCTGCAATGGCAAAGGTGCATGATCAGAGATCATAATCACTTTTATTTCATTGTTAATAACAGAGCTCATCAAGCCACATGTTACCGAAAAATAGTCAATCTGTGAGTATGTAGAATGCAGAGGTGAGAAAAAGGTGTAGTCTCTACCTGTAGAATGCTGCAGTCTTCATATATTCTGTACACCCAGTTCTTCTCTCTGGGCATTAATGGTCTACCTAGCAGATAATTGGGATGGTTGGGGTCTGCTCAATCTGTCCAAAAGCAAGTCTAATGCTTTATTGAAGTCCCCTTCTATAATCAATTTTTTTTAGGGAGGAGTCAATTAATCTTGAAAATAATTGATTGAGAAAGGAGGGATCATCTTTGTTGGAGGCATATAGGATTGTATGTAACATCAGAAATACAAACTTCAACAAGTAAGGGTGTTCCTTCAGTGTCTTTTATGAGTTGGTAGTGTTTGTGTGTTCAGTTTTTCATTGAACAAGATTGACACCCCCAAGATCTGGTTGAGTAATTTCGAAAAACACCTTCACCAGTCCACACTTTCTAAAATCTTTTCAGCCTCAGACTCAGTGAGGTGGGTTTCCTGGAGGTTATATCAGCTTTCAACTTTCTTAAGCAAGACAAATATTTTTCTTTTTATAGGATTACCAAATCCTTTTATGTTTCAAGAAATACTTTTAACTATCTGAAGAAGTGAGGTTTTTACCCACGAAAGCTTATGCCCAAATATATCTGTTAGTCTTTAAGGTGCCACCAGACTCCTTGTTGTTAAATTAGCCATAAGTACTCACAAAGGTAATTATCCCAACAAACATCTTATGCCATACTCACTGAGACTGAAGGGTATAGGTAGGGTGAGGAGTCCACGTGTGAAGGGTATTTGGGGAGTTCATAAGGAGTTTAGAGGGGAAAGAGAAGTTAGAGTGGCAAGAGGTTAAGTGGATAAGAAAGAATTGAGAGGAGGTAGGACAAGCAGGCAGGGGGTGTAAGAAAAGGCAAAGGTATGAGAAAGCAGTGCTCTTGAGTCAGGGTAGGACAAAAGATCAGGAAGTTAGAGAAGGGGAAGCCCAAACAACCATGTCTCCTCTGCCCCAAGTTGAATGCAAAATACATCAATATTCCCAATTACCCTCCCCTGCAAAAGGCGCGGATGGGGGAGAGATGATGAATATTTCAGAGTACATTTTAATAGGGTTTCTGGGCTAAAATATACATATAACTATGCATCGGATGTTAGAGTCTAACGAGACAGATATCTGCTTGGAAAAATATGAGAGGCAGGAAAAAAGAAGAAACTACTGCACCATCTCTTCTAGACAAATGGGTCCCAAATCTCAGTATATGACCTTCCAATTGCCGGCTCTTTAAAGAGCCATAAGAATTGAAATATTTCCCTCATCCTTGGGTATGTCACCAAATATCAACACCCGTAATTTAAACTGAATACATTACTGGTATGCTGTTCTTAAAAACACTATGAGTAAGACGAAGAGACAGCAACCCTCCCCCACCCCTCCAAAAAAAAAACAAAAACCTAACTATTATTCAAAATGGAGACAGGAGATTTGGATTGATACATGACCAATCCCAATTTGAACAGTTTGTTAGGCAAATCAATCACCTAATTTGTCTGTTTAATTATATGGAGGCAATATAGTTTTCTGCTTCTGCCGGTTTGGAGTAGCCAAGGAGTTAGCCAGCCTGTTTGATTTTAAAAATAGCTGGGAAGGCTATAAAATAGGTCAGTCCTTTCTCCTTGACCATCTTCCTTGACATATTGAACAGGGCTCCTTGTTAACTATGTTTAACTAAAGCTCAGCTTTATTATTCCAAATAATATTTGGAAATATTATTTTATGTCCATTCCAACTCAGGTTTCCTTTTTCTCTGGCTTTTTAAAGGCTGGATTATTGCACATTGTATATTAGGACTTTGAATATAAATCCCATGGGTTTGGCATTAGCTGAAGGTTTGGGAGCTAGGGAGTGGAGAGGTCTTTCTATGTTCAGCTCTGTATCAAGGTATAAGGAAAGAATCTGAAGTAGGGTCTTAGACAATAATTCTATTGGCCTGCACTTTTCCACTTCCAGAGGGAGCCTGACCACCCTCAAATTATTTTTGCTGGACCAGTCCTCCAGATCACTGACTCTATATTGTAGCCTTTGGATCAGATATTGTTGCTCTAGTGATCGTAAGAGTCCATATTGTCTTCTAAGATACATATTCTAGTTCTGCCCCCTTGTTCCTGGAGGTTAGCCTCTGCAAACTGACTTAGTGTGCTGCAGTCATGACTTTAATTTCAGGATTAATTTAATGCTCTCGTATTTTCCTAAGTAGGTTCTGCTCTTTAGATGTCTGCATTAACCTTTTATAGACTTGATCTAGGCCTATTGGGGACAGGACCGGTGCTACCATCAAGGCAAACTAGGCGGTTGCCTAGGACACCAAGATTTGGGGGCGCCAAAAAGCGGTGCCCCCCAATTTTTTTTACAGCGTTCCTGGGCTGGGCTGCCGGCTGCACACTGACACATGCGGCTCAGACTCCCTCTCCGAGCGCAGCGGCCGCTCCACTTCTCCCGCCTACCAGCAACAAGATTAACCATCCAGAAACAAAATCAGTGGCCTTAGTTTAGTGGATCCTCCATGAATTTATCTAGTTCTTTTTTGAACCCTGTATTAGTCTTGGTCTTCACAACATCCTCTGGCAACGAGTTCCACAGGTTCACTGTGCGTTGTGTGAAAAAATCCCTCCTTTTGTTTGTTTTAAACCTGCTGTTTATCTTTATTTATATGAACTTCAGTGAGACTCCTTGTGGAATAAGGTACTATGTCATGTAAATAATGGGATCACAATATGGCCATTGTTTTTTAATTCTGGTTCCATGGGTTCCATCATTTAATTTGAGATGTTTGTGTTAAAATAACTTTGTTTTTTAAAAATAAATTTTATCACAATTTAAATATACACTTCAAATGAGCCTTGTGGGGGCTGATCCCATTTAAGTCAATGGCAAAACTTCCCAGCAGAAGTAGAATCACCACGTTAATTAAATGATAATAAATGAGGGGAAAAGTTACATGGCACTGTTTCACTTCAACATGCTCCTCTATCCATGACAACCACAGCTGACATGACCACAATTTAAAACCAACAATTTAAGACCAATACATTTATAACAACAGGGCAGAAGAAAGTAAACAGAGAATCACTAATTTCTGTCAGAAGCTGACTGTGATCACACTTTTTAGGACCACATCTGATTATCTGTGCAGTTCACAGCTCAACAAAATCACAGAATGTAGGGATGTATTACAAGTGGAAAATGAGCACAGACTGGAAATTTTAAAGGATGGACATAGATGAAAGAATTTGTGGAAGACAGAAGAACAGTGGAGGAAGGGAGGGTTGATGTGATATATCACAATGAAAATGCACTGCATAAAATAGGAAGTTTAGTCCAGGATATTGGAACTTGGAAAAAATGATGTGTCACAGGGTGGCTGGCCCCTTTAAGAGAGAGTGGAGTCCCGTGCACCAGTGGGGCTGCCTCCTGATTGGGTTTTAAAAGAGGGCACCTGGGTCACTGGGGGAGGAGATTGGCAGGTGAGTGCTGTCTGAGACCAGAGACAGAAAGGAAGAGCTACAGAAGATCTGAACTCTCATAGAATATCTGGGTTAGAAGGGACCTTAGGAGGTCATCTAGTCCAACCCCCTGCTCAAAGCAGGACCAATCCCCAGACAGATTTTTGCCCCAGCTCCCTAAATGGCCCCCTGAAGGATCAAGCTCACAACACTGGATTTAGGAGGCCAGTGCTCAAACCACTGAGTTATCCCTCCCCCCTGAGGACAGCTAGAGCAGAACTAGGGATGAGAACTGAGCTGAGAAGCAAGGCTGGAGACACCTGACAGGAGAAGGCCTGGACAGAGTCCCTAGGCAAAAGGGGAAGATCCCGCTTGGTCAGTGGAAGCAAGAGGGTAGACCCTGGAGGGCTGTGCCCTGAGCAAGGCTCGGACTCAGGCAGGGAGGCCTCAGGAGAGGAACAAGAGTTGCCATTTTTGAGATACAAAAACTTGAGACATCCAAGATGATCCTGAGCCCATAAAACTGGACTGCTGGGGGTGTGTACTGAGCACCCTGACAGATTGCCTGGGACAGCTACCTCAAAAAAGGGACTATGCTGGGAAAACCTGAGTTGGTGGCAACCCTAAGTGGAACTCTGGGGAGATCTCTTGTAGGGGGCTGTGGTAACGGTCAGGAGACTGGTCATTCTTTGGCAGTGAGGCCCTGGCTCAGGGCAAAAGAAACAGGGAACACAGTGCTGCCATTGAGTCTTGGGTGAGGGACCTGTAGGTGCTGTCCCTGAAGAGGGGACTGGAAAAACTGTTGTACGTTTATATGTTTACTGTGGGTTTATTGAGAATGGTTTTACTACAAGGGTGTGGGGGGGAATTACTGCACTGGTGTCTGTCAATATGTTATGCCCAGAGGTGGGCTTTCTATTGGACATTGAGAGACTCTGTTCATGGGCAGAAGAAAGGGGAAACTAAGGCAGGGTATATGTCTGTCATACAACTGATGATAAAGATGGTTATGAGAAAAAGCTTCCCTAATTTAACAAATTACATCCTGACAATGAGCAATTAGTGTGAAATACCCTTGATCCATGGATAAAAATGCTATTTTTCAAAAGGTGAGTCAGGAGTGTGACGTTGCACTCCATATGCTTTATGAAAATATGCTTGGAATGTGAATATAATGTAACTGGAATATGCTTTATGCAAAAGGTCTCTTCTAAGGTATCATTACAAAGCTTATAATCTACTGAATGCGGTCATCCTATTTGTATGAATGTATCATTCTTGTATCTGAAGCTATAAATATGTAGTATTATTCTAAAGTCCTATTGTAATTATGCAAAGTGTGGGCCATTAATGGTGGTTTAGAATCTTGATGGCTCCCATTGACCAGAACAACTGGTTTAAATGGCTCTGTTTACTTGTAAACCTTCCTGTGTTCATCTGAGTCAGGCCGGAAAGAATGGAGGCTTGGGAGTCTCACAGGACATGTGACCATGTCACCTGGTACTGGAATCCATCCTAAACCTGGTGCTTTTCCATTTAGAAGGAAGGGTGGGAACCCAAAGTGAGACAAAGGAGTCCCGCCTTGTGCCAAATATATAAAAGGGGGTGGAACAGAACAAAGGGGTTGCCAGTCATGAGAATCCCCTAGTTACCACCTAAGCAGGAGCTAACAAGAACTGTACCAGGGGAAAGGATTGGTCCCAGACTAAGAAGGAATCTAGTCTGTGAAAGAAACTTATTGGAACATCTCTGAGGGTGAGATTTACCTGTATTCAGTTTCTTAATGTATTAGGCTTAGACTTGCGCGTTTTGTTTTATTTTGCTTGGTAACTTACTTTGGTCTGTCTGTTATTACTTGAAACCACTTAAATTCTACTTTTATATTTAATAAAATCACTTTTGTTTATTAATTAACCCAGAGTTAATGATTAATACCTGGGGGAGCAAACAACTGTGCATCTCTCTCTATCAGTGTTATAGCGGTCGGACAATTTATGAGTTTACCCCGTATAAGCTTTATACAGAGTAAAAAGGATTTATTTGGGGTTTGGATCCCATTGGGAATTGGGTGCTGGAAATAGGGGATTTGCTGAGCGGTTTTTGGTTAAAGTCTGCAGCTTTGCGGGGCGTGGACCAGACCTGGGTCTGTGTTGCAGCAGGCTAGCGTGTCTGGCTCAACAAGGCAGGGTTCTGGAATCCCAGGCTGGCAGGGAAAACAGGCTCAGAGGTAATTCCAGCATGTCAGGTGACAACCTCAAGGGGGTCTCTGTGACCGAACCCATCACAAGGAGAAAGAACTTGATTAAGCTACAGTATGAGATACAGTTCTGAAGCTACAAAATAATTTGGCAAACCAACAGTCTGATAAGTGTTGAAGGTCATGTCAGACGTCATTGGAAAATTATTTCCAGCAGACTCTTTGAAGTCATGCAGCATTAGTGATTATGTATGTAGGAAACAAGAAAATATAATGTACATTACTAGACTTTTCTTATTAATCAAATAAGTTAATGAACCTCCATTTTCTAAAATGATACTTTTTAATCTGATTATTTCCATGGATAGGAAACACCATGTCTCCATTTTTATTTCATTTCTCAGGAAAATAGAAAAATTCTAACAGATAAGAAAAAACAAGTAAAGCAACTATTAGAAGAATTGGATGCTGAAAAATCCCCTTCTTTTGCTGATTGTTACCATACTTTCAGTTTCAGGAAAAACAAGCCAAAGGATAAAGCAAAAGTAAACCACAGAACGAAAAGTCTGACAAAGTGTGCCTCAGTGACAAAAACAGGGTTGAAAATATTGCTATGGCCCCATCTCGATGCAAAGTTCTCTGATTTCATTGATAACTGTGCACATTTTGTACAGAATATTTATTCTAGTGCATGTTTTCTGTGCATGGAGATGATTGGTTAATTTCTGTCTTGATTTAAATAATGGACACTTCCTCTTCACCCTCTTCAGTCTGTATAGCTGAATTTTACTAAGATACTTACAGTGACTCCCAATGAAGTCAGTTGCAATACTCTCATTCTGCATAATGACCAGGTAGACTCTGGCCCAGTGGGAGCAGGATCAGACCCATTATGTACATTACAAAGTTACTGGAGTGTTTTGTACAAATTCCTTTCAGCTGATTAATTTTCCTATTTGGAGTTTGGATTCTGGCTCACCAAACTCTTGACTTTTTCCAGAATATTGTATTCAAAACTGGTACAAAACTCAGAATCAGAACTTTTCCCAGTTCTTCCATCCATGCTTTCCAACCTGTGGCATATTGATTATTAGTATTCAGGAATTATAGTACTGTGATAGCTGACATAGTATGTAGCTTCTTACCATATTGTAAGGTTAATGTTAGTATTGTTAAGGTCCAACTCCGTAAAGTTGCATGTTAGGGAGTGACCGTCTTCCTTAATTTCCAGCTGGCTGAAACACTCAACATCAATGTTCTCTAATTCATCATCTAAGGAGAAATATACGGAATGTTAATGAAGCAAATGACTGTGTTTGTTTGAAATACAATTTAACAGTCTCATTATGAAACAGGCTCTTTTATTAGAAGTTGCTATAAAGGAGAAGCATCCAGTAGTCTAAGCCCAACATTTCAGTTTTATAAAATCATAGAAAGGGTTTTTCTTTTTCTTTTTTCTGGGTTTATTAAATGTCCTCTCTCTGCACAAAGGGTGAATTCCATCCATTTTGACACTCATACTGAAGAACACACAGGGTAGCCAGTGTATCAATTATAAAATGACATCATTCAGGAGCTAATATATTGGTTTAGCTAGGCCAGTCTTGGCTTTTATAATTAATCATAGTATAAAAGATGGAGTATTGGTTTGATCTTGGAAGCCGTCCATACATAGAACTCCCTTTGATGCATGCAATACATATGCAGTGTGATGTTATAGTATATAGTGTTAATTTGCATGAATGTGAGATGGCCATATTAGTCACAGGTAGCCAAATATTAATTGTAAGAACTACGTACAAACCTCATACCAAGAGAAAAATGGGAACTAATCCATTTTCAAAAACTGACAGCATTTTCTAGAAATCATGATATTGTGGTTTTTGAAGGTGTTATATCTCATGACATGCTAGGCATAGTAAGAAATGTGTACGGAGCACCAGTAACAAACCAGGATTCCCAGAATATAGCATCAATCTCTAGACATAAATCTTATATGATAAGTCAGCTTGACGCATCCTAGACTCCATTTTTCACACAATAGCACCATCACTCAGTTTGGCAAGAATAAAAGTTACTGTTTGAGAAGTTTAGGACTGAAATAGAAGGGGAGTTTCTGGCCAAGACTTAAAGCTTGTATGTACCGGGGCTATTTGTATTGGTGTTTCAAATAAGCTAAGCACCTTATTACTCTGGTGCAGCACATCTACACTGGAGGATACACCAGCGTCATTACATTATTGTCGCTAAACAGGTCCAAATAGCAGTTGTCTAGACAGGCCCCAAATTGTCTGAGAACATTAATAGATTACAAGGGACCATTGTAATCACTAGTCTGACCTCCTGTATAGCCCAGGCCACAGGACTTCCTCAAAATAATGCCTACATCAAATCTTTTAGAAAAACATCCAATTTTGATTTTAAAATGGCCAGTGATGAAGAATACACAATGACCCTTGGTAAATTGTTCCAGTGGTTAATTACCCCCATGCCTTATTTCCAGTCTGAATTTGTCTAGCTTCAACTTCCAGCCCCCTGGATCGTGTTATACCTTTCTCTGCTAGACTGAAGAGCCAAATATTAAATATTTATTCTCCATGTAGGTACTTATAGACTGTGATTAAATGACCTTCTAACTTGCTCTTTGTTAAACTAAACAGATTGAGCTCCTTGAGTCTATCACTGTCAGGCATGTTTTCTATTTCTTTAATCCTTTCAAATCCTTCAATCGTTCCTGTGGCTCTTCGCTGAATCCTCTGTAATTTATCAACAGCCTATCTTTGCACAATAGCTCATGCCCCCAAAACTTATGTGTAATGGAACTGATACTTGTGCTTTGCTGTCAGATTATTGACAAGAACTAGAAAATTAAGGTAGAATTTTAGAAGTCTCATTTCAAATCCTCTTACGCTGGCACAGGCGCTTGAGCACTGCGGCACATTTTGACTGTGCCATCCATTTCTGTCAAATGTCATACCATCAGGCTTTCAGGGAAATCTCAAACTTTCTGTCACATAACACTGTTTCTTCAAAGTTTGCCTTGATGAGTGATAAAACAATTGCTGTTTGACTGGATGATGCGTGTTTCATATCCAAAGCTCTTGCATGTCAGATCAGGGATAGCAAAATAAACAAACTTCTGAGAGAAATATTTCCACCCCAACTTCCACTCCAAGTTCAGCAGAACTGATAATGAAGGGTTAGATTGTGAATGGCACCAGGGCAGGTCCACCAGGGAAGAATGGAAGGAGCTTCCTCCCCTCAGCACCGAAGCTAGCTGAAAAGTGGGTAAGAAGCAGTGGTACTGTTCTCTGTAATGGGCCCTGTGAGCATTAGCTGTCTGAAAGCCAGGCTGTATTAACTTCTGTTCCCTACTGCTTTCTGGGGATGAGAATGATGATATATGACTCACCATCCTCCAAGTACCACCCTGGGCCCACCATCTTCTTTTAATATTTAAGGGAATTGGATGCTGGAGAAAGATGTTGGATTGATGCCCTTGGAGAAGGAAGTTCTCTTTTTATCCACCAAACAGGTACAGCCGGGACGCAGCTGTGCAAGCATCACTCCACTGCCCTGCCAATGTGCCTCAACTCTGAACTGGAGGGAGATGAGGTATTATTCATGGTTATTTATATTACACTAGTGCCCTAGAGGCCTCAATTTAAAGCCAGGGCCCCATTCTGCTAGACATGGTACACACGTATCGTAAAAGACAGCTCCTGCTCCAAAGAGCTTACAGACTAAATGCCAAGACCTCACAGGTGAATGAAAGAAACATGCAGACAGGAAGGAGATGGGCCAGGACAAGGTAACAATACTAATAGGATATTTTCTCATAGTCTAGCACTGCACCCAATTTGTAGGTGCAATTGGCCAATCAGTAGCAGTAATCATAATAATCATTCTCTATGTCCATTCCATTTTTGGCTCCTTTGCAGCTAAAAGGAGGGATAGCTCAGTGGTTTGAAAATTGGCCTACTAAACCCAGGGTTGTCAGTTTAATCCTTGAGGGGGGCATTTAGGGATCTGGGGCAAAAAAAAAATAGTTGGGGATTGGTCCTGCTTTGAGCAGGGGGTTGGACTAGATAACCTCCTGAGGTCCCTTCCAACCCTGAGATTCTATTCTGTTGAAACTCCAAGGTTGTCATTTAGTGCCAATTGTAGTAGAAATATCTTTTGTTACATGGACACCTAGACCAAGACCATGACATTTATTTCACCTTGACTATTAAAGAGAGACACCTTCCAATCAGTACTAGTCGAGAATTGGCTTTGGACTGATTTAATAGAGGTGAAAGTCTATCACAATTCCTCTGAGCCATCTAGTCACATATAGAGACTCATGTCCTATATGACCAGAGACTATGCAGCACTCTTAAGACTTCTGATACAATTACTTGCCTTGAGTTATTCATAATTCTGGTTACATATGGGTAACATTAAAATTGTTGTGGATTATTATTACTGTTTATTACTTATATAGTGACATTGTTTTGCATGGTTGTTTATATATGTAAATAAAGGCCATGTCATAATACGTATAAATCCATGGATTGTATCACATCAACAAGTAAGACTCTCAAATAAGAATCCTCTTGACAGCTGCTACAATTATCTGAAAAGTTGTATTTATTCAGGACCCATAAGAATGGGACTCAAGTGGCAGAAGTTGTAAATCAGAATCCATCCTGCTGTCCTAAAGATTGAATAATCTAAAGAAGATGAGCTTCTTTCTCTAGCATTTGAACTGTTGAATGTTTAAATAGTAAAGGGGTTCTTCAGATGTTAGACTAGCATTAAAGCAGGAGGGCAGCTGACTTGCAATGTCTGGCACTAGGGTGACCAGACAGCAAGTGTGAAAAATCGGGACGGGAGCAGAGGGTAATAGGAGCCTATACAAGAAAAAGACCCCAAACTCTGGACTGTCCCTATAAAATTGGGACATCTGGTCACCCTATCTGGCACTGAACTCCTGCACTGTGAATGCAACTTTTTTGAGTCATGAAAAGTATTTGTAACAGTAAAAAATGATCAGTTAAAGTATTAGATTAGCAATTAGGATGATATGTGCTATTTAAAAGGAATTTTCATGTACCATATTCTAACAGCTTAAAATTAAATTTTGCTATCTGACAATCAACAATATACTTCTCTCCCTGTTGACTCCTGAACTTGACAATCCTAACTCACACAAATAGCTCTTAATCATGGCCCCAGTGACCTCTACATGACTAATGATGTGAGTAAGGTCTGTTTACATCAGAAAAATTTGCAGGATCATGACTGTTTCCCCCAGATCATAGGTAACTCAAACTTAACACCTAATCCTGATTTCATTTAAATCAGTGCGGAACTTTGACACTAATTTAAATAGGAGACGTACTGGGCTCATAATCACTTACACTATAAACCCTTTAAGGCAGTTGTCTCTTTTCCGTGTTTGTACAGGACACAACACAATGTGGCCCCAATACTGATAGCGGACTTTGGCACCACCACAATATAAATATTTGCAGAGACTTATTTACATTCTTAACTTTGTGTACTGATGTCCATAGGACTACTCACAGTACATACCCCTGATAATTGTATAGTCAATTGCTTGGCTACACTTCAGTCCATTAAGAAATACATTCAAGAGATGAAATGACCAATATCAGTCAGGTTTTTTTTGCTAAAAGCTAATATTAGAATGTACAGGAAGAAAGGCTCAGTAAGATACCAGTTTCTGGGAAGCCGTCTTGTGCAGCATAGTTAAATTCACCTTACACAGAAAGTGTGTTTCAGCTAAGAGTGTTTTTAGGATGATTTTACAAGTTACAAACCTCTTTACACATCACTAAAATCCAACCCACCCGTTTGTCCCAGCCCCTTAACCTGTTTTTCTGTGACTTTCCTTTGTTTTGGATACTAGCATTCCAGGGACTGGTCCATGAAGGTACCTCCTCAGCTTAGACTGTAGTAGAACATTGAAGTATTTTGCCTTTCACAAGTTCCTTATTTCCGCATGCCAAAGCTGACTTCAGCTTTGCAAAGTGTTACGGGATGCTTAGCAGAGAACAGAATTATAAAAAGATATAGTTCAATTCAGGCCATGTAACTGCTAGAAATATAGATACAATATAATGTCATATTGATATTGTGGGCTTAATGCATATTAATATGTGTCATATCAATAATATATATTGGTTAACAATAAAGTTAAGCACAGATGTAAATGGCTGCAGGATCAGGACCTTAAATTGCCATGGTGTTGTTGGCATCTGATTGAATGCTGCATCATCTGATTGAATATCTGCTGTATTTAGAAGTTATCTTAAATTAAAATAGTTCTCATGTGAGCTGACCCCATCCTACAAACATCCTACAAACACTTACCCTGTGAGCAGGGCCATTGAAGTCAATGGGACACATGAGTAAGGGTTTTCAGGATCTGTTTCTGTTTCTAACCAGGGCCCAATCCTGTTCCCTTTGAAGTTGATGGCAAAGCGATTTTGACTGAAAGGGAGCAGGGTTAATACCGTAATATATGTCAGAGTTGAGTGGTCCCAGTGATTTCAGAGACATTGATTTCAATATATTTTTATTAATGTTGATGTCAATGGGACCACTCACCTGAATAAGGGATTGCAGGATCAGGTGCTGATCAGCTGCAAATTATGTAAATACAAGAAAATAGGGGGAAAAGACATCATAAGTAGGTTTAAGATCTTCTAACCAGTAAAACTGCCATGCACTTTGTTCTGGTGTAATAAATATATAATTCACTGCAGATGGGGAAAACAGAGGGAACTAATGAGTTACATCTAAAACTTAGCATAGATACACAGTAATTACCTCACCATTAAAAACTGCTACTCATCTAATAACAAAATGTTAGGAACCTAAATGACGGTAATTGAGAGAGACTAGTCTTATGTCAGTAGTCCTTATCTGCACAGTCCCACTGACTTTAATAGAATGACTCATATGAGTGAAGATTATTCATGTGAGTAAAGGTTTTCAGGACCGGGTCCTAGGCAATTTAAAGGATCTGAGTCTCAAGGTGTGTGTCAGAAAAGTATTCTCATTGATGGCAATGGGAAATTTTCCTGAATGTAGTGCAGAACTATGTACAAAATGTCTACATTGAGTGGAGTATTTACAAATTTGATGATTTCTGCTGCAAAATACTTTTAACTGTCCAAGCAAAATAATTGAGTTTGTTGAACTAAGGTCATTATTACTGTAATGCCCCTGATGTAATTCGAGTGCCTTTATGATAAACACACATCAGTGATGTGCTGCAGGTAGCTCCTAGAAGCTCCTTGTTTAAATGCTGCCCCTTGACCCCACCTCGCCGAAAGGGGGGACTAGACAGCATCCTTTGCATCATAGGGCCACTCCCTGCTTGAGATAACTTATCTCTGGGGCTCAAAAATAATCTTCTGAATAGGAAACTTTTTGCCTCTTGGGTGGAGCAGATTGGACTGTTTCTGGCACTTTAAAACATTTTTCCCTAAGAGGATTGTGAGAGCAGAATCAGTGCCTTATCCTTTTCATATGGCACTTTAATGTATTTGCAAAACATAATGGAATGAACTAATTCTTTACTTACCAGCCTTAAACAATCATAATTCTTATACAAAGCTAACCATAATGAAAGAGGCTAAGTAGGCTCTATCCTGCATTCCTTGTGCACTCCACTCTTTCACTGGTTTTAATAGGAGTTTGAGGTGCACAAGGATGCACGACTGGGCATAAGTATAGATAGATATCTGTGTAAATAATCCACCAGAATCACACAAATCCCATGCATAAAGAACATGAGAGAGGCAAAGCTAACGGTTAAAATGTTAACCCATTCTGTTTAACGGCTGCAGTTGCATGTAGTAGAAGTTTGAGGATCTCATTAAAATCACATTTTCAATTATTCTTGATCCTGAAGGCAAACGTGAAATGACTCACCAGACTCATCTTCTGAGGTAGAACCACTTTCTCCAGAAGTGGTGTGAAGAAGAAAAAAGAGTAAAATGCCAAACGCTGTGCTGGTCCGTGTCATTCTGAGCATATTTGGTGTGTGCGTGCCTGTGTGTGAGAGAGGAGCTCACTCAGTTGCTTTATACCCAGGGTGAAGTGTGAACCCACTGCTCTGATAAAGCAACCGCAGGCAGGGGGAAGTGTAAACACACTGAAAAGGATGACAAGCAGAGCGAGCCAGGAAGCCAGAGTGAAAATACTTGTGGAACTTTTATTTTGAAAATGCCTCCCACTTCCAAACTAAGGGCTTAATCCAAAACTCACTGAAGTCAGTAAACAGACTCCCACTGACTTCAGTGTGATTTGGATCAGGCTCTAAAGGCCCAACCCGGTTCCTACTGAATCAACGGGATTTTTACTAGTGATTTTGGTGAGACAAGATAAGGCCCTTTTGTGAGATGGCTTACGGTCCAGGAAGACCAGACACACCACAGAGCTAGGGGCTAAATTCTGCCCTCAGTTACAGTGTCAATACATGGTTGTCCAGGAGGGAGAATTTGTAAAGTGCTGTGAGATCTCCCAGATTCAAAGTGGTAGTTAAGAGCTATATATTATTATTAATAAATATAAATGCAATTATGTAGTATTTGCTAAACACCAACAGCTTGCTTGCTGCTGTACAAAACAAAGATAAAGACAGTCGCTGCTCCAAGGAGATTGCAATCTGAAGGGTCAGTCCTACAAACCCTTAATCATGTGATTGGTCTGTAAGCAATCTGGAACTACTTGCAGTTTTCAGGATCAGGACTTAAAAGACAGATGCAAAGCAAGCAAGCTGCAGAGACACACAGAAGAGGTGTTAAATATTTCCTCCCCCTCTTTCTGTGTCTCCAACTCCTCCACACCAACACACACCAAAATAATTCAGGGGCAGACTAGTCATTGACTAATATGGGCTAGTGTTTGTGAGCCTCCGTGACACCCTGCTTCCCTTCCGTGAACCACCACCACATAAACACAAATCTATTAAGTGACTGTTTATCTGGTACTGTTGCTGCCACCATCCAGTATATATTAACTCCTTGTCTCTTCTAGACTTTTAGAGTTAAATAGTTTTAGCCTTTTATCCCCAAGAACTGGAAAATCCAGAGCTACATTGTTGCATGGTGTAATTATTATGTAGCATCACTTTAAGAAGTGGCAGTCAAGAGTCTAAATAACTTAGTAGCCTGTATCAGGCCTAGGCATAGAGCTCATGACAATGAAAGGTCTTACTTATTATGCTAAGAATAAATATAATCTAACATAGAAGCATTAAAGAAATAGTTTTATACACTGAAACCTCTCATCTTACTCTGTTAGTTTAACTTGAGCTTCTTAACTATTACAAATATACATGCACAACGTGCCATGACCCATCTATATCTGATGTCACCTCTCAGTGCCAGCCCTTGATGCTGGGTTACTGGGATGGCTGTGGGAGTCCCTCACTTTTCCTGAGGACTCTCTCCCCTCCAGAGCCCAGCATCTAAGAGGAGAGGAGTTGCTGGGGTTGAGGACACCATGCTGAGCTCTCTTCAGGTTTTCCATCCTCCGGGCTCTACTAACCCTTCTTCAGTCAGCCCCCCTGTAACGATGCTGGTTCTGGCGGGACCCAACTGAGACTGCCAGTTCAGGACAAATTGCTTAAAGCAGGGCAGTCACAGCCCCAGGCTGGAGTTTTTCCACCTCAAACCAAACCAGCCAGACAGAGAGGACTTTGGTCTCACCCACTGGCTAACCACAAGTCACACAAGCAATTCCTTCAGACACTCCAGTTTCTGAGTATCACCACCAGTGCCACTCGTTATGGGGATGAATGGTTATGAAAACCAACACCCCAGTAAAAGAAAAAAAGCTTCTCCCGATCCCAAAGGACCAAGCCCGAGATCCAGGTCAATCTACAAATCAGATCTTACCCACAAATCACGCTGTTGCCAATCTTTTAGAATCTAAAATCTAAAGGTTTATTCATAAAAGGAAAAAGATGTAGATGAGAGCTAGAATTGGTTAAATGGAGTCAATTACATACAGTAATGGCAAAGTTCTTGGTTCAGGCTTGTAGTAGTGATAGAATAAACTGCAGGTTCAAATCAAGTCTCTGAAGTACATCCCCCGCAGGGATGGGTCATCAGTCCTTTGTGTAGAGCTTCCATTTGTAGCAAAGTCCCTCCAGAGGTAAGAAGCAGGACTGAAGACAAGATGGAGATGTGGCATCAGCCTTTTATAGTATTTTCCAGGTGTAAGAACACCTCTTTGTTCTTACTGTGGAAAATTACAGCAAAATGGAGTATGGAGTCACATGGGCAAGTTCCTGCATACTTTGCCGAGTTACAAGGCGTATCTGTCTTCTCTCAATGGGTCATTTGTATAGCTGATGATCCTTAATGGGCCATCAAGCAGGCTAGGCACAGCTGACACCAACTTGTCTGAGGTGTCACCCGGAAGCATAGCATAAGTTTGAAATACAGACAGTATAGAGCCAATAGTCATAACTTCAACTACAAAAATGATACACACATATAGACAGCATAATCATAACCAGCAAACCATAACCTTGTCTTAGACACCTCATTTGACCCCCTTTATAAAAGATTTGGTGCCACTACAGGACGGTTGCAACAATGACCTATACGGTCCCAGTTCATGTCAATAACGTCACACCCCCTCTCCAGGCAAGTCTAGCCAGCCATTCTATCTGACCCCCCAACTCCCATTCCCAGATCTCCCTCCTCGAGATCCTCCCTCCAATTGTCACTTTGGCAAACCCCCAAGAGTCTCCACCCCGTTTGGTGATGTCACCAGCCTCAGCAGTTCATTCACGGTGGGATTTTGACAACAAAGCCATTATTCCAGGTCCTCCTTTGGGTTTCCATGGGGCTGATCCAAAGCCCACTGAAGTCAGATGATCTTTGAATCAAGCAACCTTGAATTATGCAATCTTCCCTCCTCAGGTCCTTTGGACGAGATAACCTCTTATATCTCTAACCCCAATCTACATGCAGCCCAGGTCCAGGGTGTTTTGTTTTAGGAAACATTGCGTAAAGATTCCAGAATCTGGCCCAACAATAGGCACAAAATTAGAAGAACATGAACCCCTTCACTAGTACCAATTTTTGCTGCATTTTCAGATGCAACTGTTAAAGCCTCAGACCTCACAAATGAATTGTATTCTGATCATGAATCACACAAAAACGACACCATCTCTCTTTAAATTCTTCTTGTTTATCATTTAAGTGGACTATCACTTTGATCATCTCTCTCTCTCTTCGGCAAAGCAAACTGAAAGAAAAAGGCTTTTTAGGCATAATATTTTGGTTGAGCTTGTGCAATCTTATTATCAGAACAATGTTGTTCAGGGGATTTCCAGTCTGTCACAGTTGTATTTTCTCTGGGTGGGAAAGCCGGGGACCACAAAGAAAAGAAAAAAAAACGTATAAAGAAATAAACCAAACATCTATTTTGTTTCACTTTCTGAACTTTGCTTCAAAAGCCATCTGCTCTGGGACTTTGTCTCCCTTCACTAAGGCTCTGATCTACCAAAACATTTAGGCAACTACTTAAGTCCATCCCTATTCAATATGTACTTAAGCATCTGCCTAAGTCCCATTGAAGTGAAGCTTCAAGATAAAAGTTAAAAACTCTTTGAGAAAAAGGAAAATTTGTCTTTTTGAGACAAACTTAAATCCTGGGTCTTTGAGTGCTAAAAGATGGAAGAAAAATGTGGGGGAATTCATGCAGTTCTGAGCTGGTTCGGGAAAACACCGTGGAGTAGACTTTCCTGGGCAGGAAGCTTGTGGCATTGGGAACTGTACGTTTAAGTGATTTAAGATCCAGACAGGAAGTCTGGGAGAGGAGCGCTACAGAAGCCCATGCTCTGTTATGTAGGGACAGCTGGCAACTGTGTCACTGAATAAAGCGTATTGCTTTCAAGAACATTTGTTCCAAAGTGATTCTGAACACCATAGAACTAATCTTCACATGTGTTTGTACAGTCCCTAGCACAATCCTGATTGGGGCTAGGATCATTATCAGTAATAGTAATTAATAATGGTCTTTGGTAAGCAGGTGTAACCTATACAAAAAGGATTGTCAGACCATAGAATTACATATATGCAGAATTTCTTTTTCTTGAACTCTCCTGACTGGCTAAAGAAAAAATGGAGGGTGGTAAAGGAAATAATTTAAAAAAGCTTTGCAGAATATATATTTTTCTCATTTCTTGAAAATTTCTTGTTGACCAACTGTGTGTGCTCATATGTGCATGTGCACATGCTCAGCATTATGAGAAAATTTAGGGGGACCTTAAGAAAATCAGCCCCTCCCAAATTGTCTCAGATTGGTCAAGAACAGAGGTGGCACCCAGAATAACTAGTTACTTTTGACAATATGTGCCACATTGTATGTTCACAGACCCACACATGTGGTGGTGATAGCCCTCTGATAAATTGCAGATCTATGTGATTAGACACAATTTAACAGGTACCTTTGACTAACCTGCACTTTTCTCACTAATCCATCTCTGATGGGATTACTTCTTACATGCCAAACCTCAAAACATCTACCATTATTTTTTTTAAAGAAATCAACTTGACAGATAATTCTTTCCTTCTTCCAGCTCCAAAATAAAATGGTTACTCACATTCTCGTAACTGTTGTTCTTCGAGATGTGTTGTTCATGTCCATTCCAATCAGGTGTGTGCGCGCTGCGTGCACAGTCATTGGAAAGTTTTCCCTTAGCAGCTCCCATCGGGTCAGCTGTGGAGCCTCCTGGAGTGGTGCCTTCCTGGCGCTGAATATATTCCCCTGCCAACCCGGCCCCTCCTCAGTTCCTTCTTGCTGGCTACTCCAACAAAGGGGTAGGAGAGTGGGTATTGGAATGGACATGAACAACACATCTTGAAGAACAATGGTTACAAGAAGGTGAGTAACCATTTTTTCTTCTTCAAATGCTTGTTCATGTCAATTCCAATCAGGTGACTCCCAAGCTCCACCCCAGAGGTGGGGTCGGAGTTAAGGAATCACTGATGGGAGCACCGCTCTGCGGAATGCTGCATCATCTCCGGCATGCTGGGTGATGGCATAATGAGAGATGAACGTAAGTACCGAGTTGCTGCCCTGCAAATTTCTTGTATCAGGACCTGGGCCAGGAACGCCGCTGACGAGGCCTGTTCCCTCATGGAATGTGCCATA